AGTCACACAGTGTCCACAGTGGCTCTCGGACACGCGTGGGGTGCCTGCAGACGCCTTGGGTGGGCTTATTAAACCGCGGGGATGCAGGAAGCACAGGAAAGGAAATGAAATGAACGGGTCATTTTCCCGAACCCCGCTGCTCTCCTGACGGGAGCTGATATGAGGGAAGAGGGGGAGACCCGCACGAACACCGCCGGCCTCATCATCATCATCATCATCATCATCATCATCTGCGGGGACGCTCTCCGTCCCGGAAGTGCGCAGATCCTGTCACTCCACACCCCGCGCGTCCGCGACACAGACACGCACTCGCAGGGACAGAAGAGGAGCTCACCCCGCGCAGCCAGCCCGGCTGGCTCGGTACCGGCTCGGTACGGGCTCGCTGGAGCAGGAACATCAACCCGCGGACACAGCCGAGCCCGAGCCGCCGCGTGGGGGAGCGAAACGGGATGAGAGCCTGAACCGAGTCCGGTTTGTTTACGCGATCAGCCATTGACAACCCCCGCAGCTGCGCCCGCTGCCACCGGCCACCGGCCACCGGCCACGACCCCCGGCGCTTGCCTGGCCAAGCCCCCGCGGCGCCGCGGTCGCCCACGCTCGCTCTCCCTCTTCTCGCTCGCGCTCTCTTCCTGCGTGGACCCCTAGGCTCGCGGATCCATCCTGTCTCGCGGGCCAGCCCTGTGGAGAAGAGTCCCGCACGCTCACGATGGCCGCTTCCGGCACGCACCCCACTACTACCGCCACGCGGCCGCAGCCAGCGCCGCCATTGGCTGCTGCGCTGGATGTTTCCGCCAATAGGCGCCGGAGGAACTGCCCCCCTCTGTCTGACTCCCGGATTCAAAATTCAAAGCTGTAGGGCAGCCTGTCTGCACGGCGCTCAGCCGGCTCACAGATACTCCCGGCAAGGGAGGAGGGACCTCTTCCCCTGCTCTCCCGAATCCCACTGGCTCTGCCTGTCCCGTCTCCCTGAATCCCCACCCCGTCCTGCAGTCAGAGCCGCCGAGGACAGAGGACAGACCTGGAAACAGCTCAGCTCCTTCTGTGTCTACTCCCCCTCAATTTAATTCAATTCAATTCAAGGTGCTTTATTAGCATGACCGATGGGTACAATCAGTGTTGCGAAAGCAAATAAAAATAATAAAATTAACATGGAACAAAACAAAAAAATAAAAGTAAAATAAAATCTACAGACATTTGCAACAAAGACATCTCATAAAATACTGTACAGATACTGTAAACATATTGAGAATTATTGGGAGACAGACTCACTGTGACTCTCTGTGTGCAGAGTTTCTGTGGGGTGTTTGTCCCATTGAGTGTACTCCTGGTCTGTGAGGGGACCCCACACTTCACTGCCGTATAGGGCAATGGGTTGGATTACACTTTCAAATATTTGGAGCCAGATTCTTGTTGGTGGGTTGATGTTGAAGAGCCTCCTTCTTATTGTGTAGAAAGCCCTGAGTGCCTTCTCCCTCAGTGCCTTCACTGCCAGGTCAAAACTCCCGGAAGAGCTGATGGTGAGACCGAGATATGTGTAGCTGGATGTGTGCTCCAATGTGTTGTTGTTCAGTGTGAATTTGTACCTGTTTCCCTGAGGTCTGGCTTTCTTCTGGAAAACCACAACTCTGGTCTTGTCCAGATTGACTGTCAGTGCCCAGGTATGACAGTACTGCTCCAGCAGTGCCAGGTTCTGCTGCAGCCCCTGTTCTGTGGGCGACAGCAGGACCAGGTCATCTGCGTAGAGCAGGAACTTGATTTCTGTGTCGTGTAGTGTGAGACCAGGAGCTGCAGACTGCTCCAACATTCCTGCTAATTTATTGATATAGATATTGAACAGTGTTGGGCTCAGGCTGCAGCACTGTCTCACCCCACGGCCTTGGGTGAAGAATTTGGTCCTTTTGTTTCCAGTTTTCACTGCACATTTGTTCTCCGAGTACATTGATTTAATTATGTCGTACACTTTGCCCCCTATGCCACTTTGGAGAAGTTTATAAAACAATCATGACAAATCGAGTCAAATGCTTTTTTGAAATCGACAAAGCAGACAAAAAATTTTCCTTTGTGTTTTTTGTGGACATGTTTGTCTATCAGTGTGTGTAGGGTGTAAATATGATCAGATGTGCGGTGATCTTTTAAGAAGCCAATCTGACTCTTGCTCAGGACATTGTGTTCGGTAAGGAAGGCCAGTATTCGTGAATTCAGGATACTGCAGAATACCTTCCCCAGGTTACTGTTCACACAGATGCCCTGGTAGTTGTTGGGATCAAGTCTATCTCCACTCTTATTGATGGGCGGGATCAGTCCTTGGTTCCAGGCCTCGGGGAAACATCCAGCTGTCATGATGAGATTGAGGAGTTTGAGCAGGGCTTGTTGCAACTTTGGGCTGCTGTGTCTCAGCATCTCATTTATGACTCCATCATGGCCACAGGCTTAACATGGTCTGAGGGCCTGGAGTTTGTCCAGTAGCTCCTGCTCAGTGATTGGGGAGTCTAAGGGGTTTTGGTTGTCTTTGATCGGCAATTCCAAAATTTCAAGTTTTTCACAAGTGGTGTTTTGGTCTGATTGATTTGTATTTGGGAGCTTTTGATAGAGATTTTCAAAGTATGTTTGCCAGATTGTTCCATTTTGGATGGCCAATTCTTCTGGTTTTGATTTGTTTAAATTGTTCCACTTCTCCCAGAAACAGTTCTGATTTAGTGACTCCTCAATTTCTGCAAGTTGTTTGTCTATGTATGTGTTTCTTTTCTTTTTCAGCGTGTGTTTGTAAAGTTTTACCATGTCACAGTACCCGAGGCGCAGATCTGTGTTGTGTGGTTGTCTGTGTTTTTCATTTGAGACATTTGGTAGTGCATTTCTGATGTTTTTGCACTCCGTATCGAACCACTTTTCTTTTGCTTTTGTTTTTTGGTAGTTTTTTTATTTAGCTGTTTTTAGCCTAGATTTTGATGCTAGTTTGTGGAATAGGTGATTTAGTTTTTGTGTGGACCTGTTTATGCCGAATTTGTTGGTTTGATATGGAGTGTTTAGGAATGTGTCCAACAATGTCTGAATTTCTTCATCGTTCAGTGCAGTTTGGTATCTGTCTAGGCTGTCTGTGTCCCATCTGTATGCCTGGTTGAGGTCATACAGCTGGCTGGGCTGTGTCAGTGTGTCTCTGTGCTGGTGTGCTCTCTTCATGTAGAGTGTGATCTGGCTGGGGTCGGAGAGAGGAGTTTGTGGCCTGACAGTGAAGGCACTGATACAGGAGGAGTCCAGGTCAGTGATGGCGTAGTCCACCATACTGCTGCCCAGAGCTGAGCTGTAGGTGAACCGCCTAGAGAGTCCCCTGTAGTCCTGCCGTTGACGATGTACAGGCCCAGCCCTAGACAGAGCTGCAGCAGCTCGCGCCCGGTGCTGTTGACCGTGGTGTCATGGCTGCACCTGTGTGAGGTGACCGGTGTGTGGTACAGAGGGGATTGTCCGAATATGTGAGTGTTTCCCTG